TTCCAGAGCTCGGTGAGCTGCTTTTCTTGCCGTGATGTAGGTTCACACCTGAGGTCTATTCATCTGCTAACATCAATGTCTGCTAATCAATGTCTTTTATATTCAACAGCTGTCGCTTGCAACTGTATGTATGATTCTTTTGTCAAATCTAGGCTTCAACATCACAAAGTATGACGAGTGTGACCAATGTTTGTAATGAACGAAGTTTCATTTGCATGGGACCTGCAATAGATGACACATATTACATATCTCAGATATGGACGGACGTCACGAAGCTTAGGAAACCTGTAGTTTTGCAATGTACATAAATATCTGGACACCACAACAGAATATATAACACAGTAGGTAGCGTGTATACTTTATATACATAACAATATTTTGGAATGTGACGAAGATGAAACATCGTATCCATCGTAACACATTGTCACCTTTGGTATATAAACTGCGGCACTCTTTTCAACATATACAACAATACAGCAAATTATTACTATAAATACTACCAAACACTCCATTACATACTACCATACATAGCCATTAATTTCTAATAACCATAGCCAATCGAATGAAGTATAGTGGTCAACGACTAAACTGTGTGTCTGTTTTAGCAGTGATGTAGTTTTGCCTCAACGCACCGCATGTGATAAAGTATCAAATTATTAAATGAAGGAGTTTATTGATAATAACGCTGTTAGCTATTTTAGAATGCTGGGATTGCTTTTGTTTCATTCGGTTCTTTCAGGCTGCTCGTTGCGTGATGGAAAATAAAGAGTCCCGACCAATATCGATAGGGTAAGACAGCGTTTCAAAATTGGTTAAGAGTCCTGACGTTCACGTGAAACTTCAGGAGCACGGGTGAGGACGAAATGTGCAACTTCTATTTGATGTACTGGGTTGACGGCGATCAGACTCTGACGAAGAACATGTGCGCGTCGCACGGCCCGCCTCTGTCCTACTGGAATTTCCGGTCGATTCCAGAAAAGGAAGCCAATACCTTGAAATAAAAGGAAAATTTACGCCCCTTCGGTTTGTTTCGCAAAATATATTATAAAACAACTTTCTGCTTCGGTTCGATAAAAATTTCAGACAATATATCATGAACTTCATGTTTATTTACGCACAGAATATACCACAAAAATGCCAAAGACGAATGCAATTGGACAGATTTATACCACTGTATTGCTAACGTGTTCCTCATTACATTATTGATGCTTACTGTTTGAACAGAATCGCATTTATCAATATGATAAACTACGCTGTAATGAATATTCCTGAAAACAAAGACAAGAAAAACTGAGGAATTAAAACAGAAATAGCAATATGCAATGAACGCTAACACCTTCAACTTCATCTTTTATCGCCGTTTCTACTTTCGGGTCGCACAGACAGACGCGCCAGACAGTGCTTCCAACGTTCCCGATCCTGTGCCAGAGTCTGAGCGCCGGCAAAAGACAACTGAAGTCTCGAAAAGACTCCTTCGATATATTTGCACAAGGCTAATTTTGGCCAGCCCCTGGGCCTTCTTCCGGTCGACTGGGCAAAAAATACTTGCTTAGCCATTTTTTTGAAGAACTCGCAACACGTGCCAAAACCATCGTATGTGTGACCTTTCAACCTGAAAAAGCAGCGGTTATACACAAAGGTTCTCGACGATGTCTGCATTCCGGACCAGGTCCAGACGCATAAGACCAGCGACTCGTCTAAGAACGCCCATTTCAGCAGCTTCTACTCCGGTTCGACGTTTTTCAGTAATGGTCCACAACTCATGACCGCAGGTAAGTATGGGCATAAAGTTCGACTTGAACACCGAAAGCTTAGTTTCCAGACGGAACTCTGCTTTGGTCACAATGGGTGGGGCCAGTTCACGCAGAACGCCACCGGCTACTCCAATTCGCCGGTCGATTTCTTCCCCCCAATTTTCCATCACTAGTAAATACAGTTCCGAGGCACTTGAACTTCTCTAGTTGCTCCACTGCCTCTTCGTTAATCTGAAGAGAGCAACGGGCAGGAGAACGAGAAAGCACTAGGCCTTTCGTTTTAGACACACATGACGGTTCACACGCATGACGGTCACGTCACACGTGGCTGTGAACCTTTCTAAGGAGCACTGGAGATCAGTTTCGGAAGATGCTAATAAAACAAGGTCGTCCGCAAACAGCAACCTTCTCGTCTTCACATCTCCTACACCGATACACTCATCGCCTTGGCAGCTCCTGACTATTCTATCGATCTACAACACAAACAGGAGAGGGTACAGGACGCAGCATTGGCGGAGACCAGTGCGAACGTTGAATGGTTTCGACTTAACGCCATTAACTCTGACGAAGCACCTGCTATCGGAATACAGTGATTGGATGGCCATTAGCAGTTGGTCATCTATTCCGTATGGTAGAAGACATGTCCACAGACTGTTCCGCGCGATCCGGTCGTAGGGTTTGCCTAGGTCAACAGAACACATGAACATCAGACGGGCGTATTCCCAAGATTTCTGAAAAATCTAGCGCAGGGCAAATATATGGTCAGGGGTGCCTGCACCCGGACGGAATTAACACTGCCTTTCTTGTATCTTGAGGTCAATCATTTCGCAGGATCTCATTTCTAGCACCTTTGCACAGACTTTACCTGGGAGGTTCAATCACATAATGCCCCTATGATTGGAGCATTCCATGTGGTCTCCATTCTTGAATACGGGTACAATAATTCTCATTTTCCAGTCCGCTGGTGTCTCTCCCGTAGCCATCGCAGTTTGACAGACACGAGCAAGCCAGCATATGCCTTGTTCGCCTGATGCCTTGAGCATCTCAGGGCGTATTTCATCAATTCCAGCAGCATTTCCATTTTCAAGCTTTTCACCGCTTGCGTAATTTGATCTACAGAGATAGTAATATCCGTACCCTTCTGCTCAATAGGCGAGTCTTCCTGCGATTGCGCGGGGTTAACGAGTTCCTCAAAGTATTCCCTCCATCGCCGAAGGATGTCATCATCCTTGGTAAGAGGGTGTCCAGATCTGTCCTTCAAGAGTCTGAGACTGCCCGTCTTTCCATCTCGGAGCCGGCGCATGGTCTGCCAGAATACTTTGTTTGCTGTGGGGAAATTCGACTCCAACATCTCACCGAACATCTCCCAGGAATCAGCTTTGGCTTTAGCCATTGCTTTGGCTGCCGTCTTCCGTGCCTCGACATATCGCACGCGAATAGAAGGCTCCTTGTATCCAAGCAATTTCTTGAACGCTGCTTTTTTCTCTTTAACTGTCAGCTGTACCTCTTGTGTCCACCATGAAAGTCTTTTCTGACCGCCAGGCGGCAGGCCAACCCGTTTATATCCGCAGCATTCGGCCGCAGCCTCGTGTATGCCGCTCTTAAGGAGCTGCCGCTCCGTTTCAACATTAATTATCATCACCGGGAGATGTTCAAACCATCGTGCGATGTTTGCAAATTTCGCTCTGGTGTCCACCAAAAAAATGTTTCCCATTTGATTCTTCGGCTGCTTCTGCTGCCGGATCTTCGTAAGGCACTCCATTTCTTACAGCGCAGCGTGCCAACAAGGTGATGATCGGTTGATAGCTCTGCGCCTTTCTTAATGCGAACATCCATTACTGAGCGTCTTAAGTCAGAGGAAACAATTGTCAAATGGATCATCGACTTCTGTGCACAAGCTTCCCGGTACCAGGTGTACTGATGCACTTTTCGATGCTCGAACAAGGTGTTCATAACAGACAATCCGTTGTTTGCACGGAACCGCAACAACTTCATGCCGTTAATGTTGAGGTCGCTAGGGCTGTTTTTTCCAATCCCGCCGTTCCACTCACCCATCAGTATGAGGGACTCTGTCTTCGGCACTTCGGACAGAGCACATTGCACTTCCTCAAGGAAGGTCTCATATTCTCCTTC